AAGTGAGGGGGAGAGAAAAAGAAGTCCAGACAGGATGTGTTATCGAGCCATTTAACACAACGGAGACCTGGAGCTCCGCCGGGGCACTGTGGGAGACGGTGTAGAACACACTTTCGAGTTACCCTCTAGAAATGAGAAAGCGGGGTGTTTATCCACCTGCTCCACTCTCTATCATTGCTTGATGGCACTTCTCCCCTATCCCCACACTCACACACAAGTCAAACCTGCTTCCTAAACCTAAAAAAAAAAGCCCTGGGGCAGAGAGTTGCAGCTGTAGTGTAGAGATGACGTGTCTAGAGGGCGTGGGTGGGGCATCGCCATGTCTTGCACACACCCTCCATTGATGGAACTGCCAGAGAACAGGCATTCTCATCTGTTGCTGGTGAGAATGGAAATTGTCACAAAACTTAGATAATTGGGAATGCCTACTAGATATTGACAATTTGACAATATTGCACTGATTCTTCTCTCCTGGTGCATATTTTTTTTTATTTTGACTTGGCAGTCCCACTTCTGGGAATTGATCCTACCGCTAAGATTTGCACATGTAGCAAATGACAAATATGCAAAATTATGATGCAGCACTATTTGTGATGAGAAATTCTTGGGAACAATCTAATGTCCATCAATGGGGAGGGGTTAAATAAACTAAGGTACCATGGAATGCTGTGCAGTTATAAAAACAAATGAGGCAGCACTCTGTGCACTGAGGTAGCAAGATTTCCAGGACATGGTAAGTGACAAAAATAAAGTGCAAGAAAATTATACTGTCTTTTGCATTTAAAAAAGAGAGGGAGGCCGGGCGCGGTGGCTCACGCCTGTAATCTCAGCACTTTGGGAGGCCGAGGCGGGTGGATCATGAGGTCAAGAGATCGAGACCATCCTGGTCAAAATGGTGAAACCCCGTCTCTACTAAAAATACAAAAAATTAGCTGGGCATGGTGGTGCGTGCCTGTAATCCCAGTTACTCAGGAGGCTGAGGCAGGAGAATTGCCTGAACCCAGGAGGCG